AAATTCCCCGCGCCCCCAAACCTGTTTCAACACCACCATCAACAACAACAACAGACAGAATCATCATCATCATCATCAATAGAATCATCAACATCACCATATCAACAGATCATAAACCCCCCAAAAAAAAAATGGACAGATTCATGTATAGATACATACATAAACATACACAAACAGATCTGCGAATGGACGATCGGCATCATTAACAGACGGTGAAGAAAAAAAAAATGGACTCTGTCACATACATGTATCTCTGAGATCTATCACAGAGAGAGAGAGTGGACGATCTGAGATCTGTCACAGAAAGAGAGAGAGTGGACAATCTGTCCGACGCCGGTGCTCTTGAGGAGGCACTTCGTCACGTACGTCGCCTCTGACATCGACTGCTTCGACCGTCTGACGCCGACCTCACGTACGCTGCCTCGATCGCAGTGCGACACCGTCCCTTTGTTACTACTGCTGCTCGATCTACTGAAAGAGAGAGAGGGAAGAGAGAAACCGAGAGAGAAGATGGAGAGAGAGAGGGGTGAAAGAGAGAAATTGAGAGAGAAGATGGAGAGAAGAGAAGCCGTGGTCTGTGCAATGTTTTAGGGTTTAGTTTTATATATATATATATAAGGGTAAAATGGTAATTTTATTTTCGAGAACAAACCGGGTCGGGGGCGGGGGCGGAGCCGGGCCGGGGACGAGGCTTGGATACTGATCCCCGTCTCCTGCCTGAAAGTGATCAGGGATTGATTTTTTAATACCATTCCCGTCCCGTCGAATGTATTTTTTGAAGAAAAATCGCTTGAATCGGGGTCGGGGGGTTGGATCCTCGTTGGGCCGGGTTCAAATTGCCATCCCTACTCACCCACCACACTGCCTTTAAGCCTCTGAGCATGTGAGGCCAAATCTTATGTAAGGGTTGCGACAAAAGTTGCCCCTCCAATTATCACCGACTTCGAGTTTAGTAATTTAGTGAAAAAAGAGTAAATTATACTTGTCATTTTCATGTTTGGTATTTTTCTTTTATTTTGACCTTAAAATTTTACTTTTTCACTTTGTCCTTTTCAGTTTCAATTTTATTTTTTTAAAAATTATTTTAAAAACTAATTTATACTTAAAATTAAATAAAAAATAATATATTGATAGTCATGTTCTATGAAAAATATTTTATTATATCTAATGCACAACTTTGATACAAATTCTAATGGAATAATATATTTTTTTAGGACAAATTACAAACACCTCTCTCGAGATTTGGTGAAAATACAGATTTTTCCCCGAGGTTTGAGAAATTACATCCTACCCCCTGAGGTTTATATTTCCATAACAAATTGCTCCTGAGGTTTTTATTTTCATACATATTCCCCCCTAATTTCTTCTAATTTGTTATGAAAATTTGACCCTCAGGGAACAATTTGTAATTTCTCAAACCTCAGGGGGGAACCTGTATTTTCACCAAACCTTGAAGGGGGTGTTTGTAATTTGCCCGCTTTTTTTTATGTAATGTGACATTTTTTTTAATCTAATTTTGAATAGAGATTAATTTAGATAAATTATGCAAATGGTCCCTATAATTTACATGATGTGTCAATTTATTTTCTGTTGTTTTAATTTGCTCGATTTTACTCCTTAATTTAATAAATTATTACATATTGGTCCAATAAATAATGGGCGTTAACTTTGGTGGATAGGGACCAAATTGACATATCATGTAAACTACAGAGACCAAATTGACACATCGTTTAAGCACGTGACAACTTTCCGTCCACCAAACCTAACGGTTGTTATTTATTGGACCAATATGACACAATCCGTTAAATTAAAAGGCAAAATCGATCAAATTAAAATAACAAGAATCAAAACATCATATAAACTATAGGGACCATTTATATAATTTATCCAATTAACTTTACAAGTAAATTAGGAAAAAATTGAAACATTAAGGGTCAAAGTGGGAAAAAGAAAATTTAAAGGGCCAAAGTAAAAAAATAGCCAAATATAAAAGGGTAAGGTGTAATTTACTGGTGAACATGGTGTTTGTTTTATGATTAACATGATGTTTGTTTATAATTTTTAAAAATTAATTCCACATTCATTTTTGAAAACACGATTGAAGACAGGAAAATTTGGGCGAACCAGATGTCCCACAGGTTGATCAGAACAATGCAATTTTTTATTTTTTATTTTTTTACAATTGACACATGTTAATTTTTATATATTCATTACAAAATATTTTCTGAATTTTTTAAAAAAAATTATGAGCTTTAATAGAATTTTGAGTTATGTGTTTGGTTATGAGTTGTAAGTTTTTGTATCAAATGTCATATGTCACATCAAAAATTTCTCACTCAATTCAAAACTCTTTTCAAAATTCATTCACCAAACAAATTTTTCACACTCAAATTATAATTCCAAAACTCACAAATTCAAAATACAACTCTATTCTGAAATTATATTTAGAAAACTCTACCAAATACAATCTAAATATTTCCATAATTTACAATTTTTCATACAATTAAAAAAATCCATTTCTAGATATATTAATTTTTTTTAACCTCATAAAAATTTGAAAAAACTAAAAATGTCAATTCTTGAACGAGATCTCGAAATTCAGCATATTATATATACCACAAAAAACAATTGAGTAATAATTTTGGTTTTGAATTTTTAAAAACAATTTTTGAGTTTTTTATTTTTTGTATTCTTTTATTTTTAGTGAAACCTTTTTTCGATATTTTTTAGATCTAAATAATCTAATCTAAACATATCAATAAAGTAAAATATTTTGACAATTTTTTTTTAAAATTCACTAAATACAAAAAATTAGTAATTTTTTTTTATTCCTTTGATTTTTTATATACAGTTTCACAAATATTTTACTTTTTAGATAGATTCAGGTTGTGTACATCTAAAAAAATAAAAAATAAAAAAAATAAAAAAATGAAAAATATTTACTAAAGACAACAAAACACAAAACACACACACACACCCCACCCAAAAAAATAAAAAAAAAAAGAAAAAAAAAAAGAAGAAAAGAAAAGAAAAGAAAAGAAAAGAAAGTAACAAAAGAAAGAAAAAAGAAGACGATTCTCCATCAATTTCCTATTTTATGAAATAATAGGGCAATAGTTAAACCAAACAAGAGAAGTGGAGTCATTAGGACAAAAATGTTATTTCATGTGGAATTATTTATTTAATTTAAAGAAATCCAAATCTCATCTAAAACATTCATTACATATGCCATAGTTTCAAATCCATGCATGCCAATGAGTTTGTAGCGGAAGGACATTACTACCCAATGAATTTTTTTTTACATTTATTGAATACTTTTTTATAACATAACAAGAGAATAAGCTTCCCTCCAGTTGAATTTCTCAATTGAAGTGTGTTTTCGGACTTCTGTGGGCTCACGATGGAGTTCATATCGATACTTCAAACCGTTAATATGTAAGACTCATCGAGTACTTTATTCTTATAAAAAATCACGTTGATCGAATATCAATAGTCATTCGATTATAACACATTTGTGTCGATAATTTGTTTTTAAAATAATAGTTACCATTGACACAAATTTAATCTAATCATGTGGCTATCGATATCCAATCAATGTGATTTTCTACAGAGAAGAAGTACTTAACAAGTCTTACATATTTAGCCTGTGTTTGGCAAGTGGGTTTGTAGGCTTTTTTGACTATTTTAGCCACAAAAAACAAAATAGGCTATTTTAGCCATAACAAACAAAACATCACATTCAACCCATAATCATTATATTATTCTCTCACAAAAAAACTCAAAAAATCCAAAAAGCCAAAAAGCCCTTCCCAAACCAAGCTTTTAAGCCCAGGCTAAAATAGCTAAAAAAGCCAAAAAGCCAAAAAGCCAACCCACTTCCCAAACGGAGGCTAAATAGTCAAGTTTCCATCATTTCCATAAGACTATCATTATAATCTATAAAATGAGCATCTCTTAAACATAATAAAACAGAAGTATTTTTACCTTGTGGAGTTAATGATTTTATTCAAACTTGTATTAATCCTAAATGAATAAAATTGTGACCAGTTTGCAAATGACGTTTAATAGTATTAGTATCAAATAACTGACATGTTTCACGAGATTTTTCTAATGCATAAACTTGTTCTAATGTTTTAACATGAAAATTAACTTTGAATGTATTTTGTAAAAAAGTAATTTTATAAATTTCTTTAACTGATAATTTTGGTATATTCCAGCTTAAATCAATTTTATCATTTTGTATTTCAACATCTTCTTCATTAATTATTAATCCTTGATTAGGTATTGAGGACAAAGTTGTTGACCTAGAACTGACTGAAGAGTTACTTCTAAATAATCGACTCATTATTCTAGCTGGGTAAATGACTTACAAGAATCTTAATACATTGTCTAAATTTATCATGTTTTCACATACTCTGTGTTCACACATACCCATTTCGGAAGACCCCTAAAATCCACACTGCCTAACCAAGGACTGGGATGAAGGTTGGGTGGCTAGTTACAAAGTGGAAAGACACAGATAATATTTTGACAGATTAAGATGACTGAAGACAGATACTAAGCAGAATAGAGACAGATTAATCAGAATTAACAAGACAGTACAGATAGCAACATAACTTGGCTCTGATACCAAAATAGGACGGAAGCAGAGAAGAAGATGATAACAAAGAAACAGAATAATATGTACACAAAGTAACCAAAATAAAGTAAATGTTTAATATCAAAATAACTTACAATTGTTTAATAGAAGTAACACTGAATTACTTCAGAATATATAATAAGTTTGACTATCAGAGATAAATAGGTTCTCCCTCAAAGTTTCAAACTTTTTTTCTCCTTGGTTACTGTTTTTTTAATAATATTTAATAAAAAAACGTAAATAACTCTCACGGGAATTATAGAATATAAATCCACCACCTACAGACAAGTGCTCAATGAATTTGAACATATTTAAAAAAAAAAAATTGAGAAATTATAATAATTAAAAAAAAAGGTGTGGTGGCGGTCTGGAGTTCGAGTCCTAGTCGTTACCTTTCCAAACTGTTTGTTTCCCGAGAAATAGGCGCGAGAAACACAGAACAACATAGGTGGCTGTCTGCTCCCTTCTACGCCGTCTAAGCGCTCCAAGAACCTTCTCTCACTGAATTCTTCCAAACCATCTCTCCATTAAGGTACGATCCTCCTCTTTTAAGACTCTCTACATGTATTTATCACCTAAACCAAATCAAGGGGTTTTTTCCCCCTTAAATTTCTTTTATTGATTGCTTCTTGGGTAAACAATTGAAACCCTAGGAGAACAATATCTATACATCTACATACATATATATATATATATATATAATGAATTGTGGATCTATTATCTTATAGTTACTAACATAGAGAATAAAACCCAAAACTTGGGTTAAATTGGTGTGATTTGATTTTGGTTCTGTTTGCCATGTGGGCAGCTTCTTCTTTAGGGTAAATTCATACTTGACTATCCATAATGGGTGTCTGCTAAGATTTGTATTAACAATTGAAGCAGGAAGGTAATTAAATAGAAATAATGGTGGCTTCTTCTTCGGCATCTACATCACTGAAGGAATATCTGAAAAGATATGAAAACAATAATGAAGAGGAGAAGAAAAAGAAGAAGAAACAGAAGAAAACTAGACTTGATGCAACAGGGGTTGTTGTTGTTGATGAAGACCCTGTTTGGCAAAAACCAGTAAAGCTTGAAGAAGATGATGATTCAGCAGGTAAGTAATCGATGTTCGATACAGTTACAATATCATATAGTTATTATCCATTGACTGTATTTCAGCTTGATTGAGTTAATTAAAATTTGAGGACTCTTCCATAGATGAAGAGAAACCCCTGGTTGATGAAGATATTGAAGTCAAGCGGATGAAGAGACTAGAGGAGCTTAGGTCCAGACGCCCATATGGTGCCATTTCTGAGGATGGAAGTGGTTGGATTTCAGTCTCTGATACTCCTATGCCGTTGGATTCAAACAACCAAAATTCTGATATATCTCCACCTCGTAAACGTAGGGTTCGGAATGACACACCTTCACCAGAACCTGAACTGAAGTCTTCAGTGGATCACAGAGAAGTTACTGATTTGTCGCCACCACGGCAGTCGCGGAGGGGTTACCACAATCCATCTCCAGAATCTGAAGCAAAAGCATTACATCCTTCTGGCCCTGATCATAAACATCTGAAATCCAGCGACCAAAATCCTGATATTTCCCCTCCTCGTAAGCGGAGGCCTAGGTATGACACACCTTCACCAGAACCCAATCTCAGACCATTGGAGTCTGGCAGAGAGGTTGCTGATTTGTCACGGCCACGTAAGCAACAACATCGTCATTATACTCCATCACCAGAACCTGAAACAAAGCAATTACTTTCTTCTGGTCCAGATCCTGATTTTTCCCCTCCTCGCCGGCACCGTCCTCAAAAGTCAGCATGTGAAGGAAAGAACTCAGAGATATCTGACTTACCTGACATTTCCCCACCTCCACGAGTTCGACGCAGTTCTCTGTATCAAGATGATTCACATGCCTCTCCAGGGACAGATCTTTCACCTCCAAGGAAAAGCAGGATGGGTAGGCCTGGATCAAGTGATCTCTTCCCTCGACAATCAACTCTCCGTTCAAATGATATTGATGTTTCACGTGTATCTTCAGTATCAGATCTTTCCCCCCCAAGGAATACTCGAAAGGAACCATCATCCCTGAAAGAGCGGCCAAAAACTGGTTTGGTTTCTGGGAAAGATATCAAAGAAGAGATTACTAGAACTAAGAAAGATGATTGGGAGAGGTAACTGATTCTGTTATTTGGCTTTTTTTCTTTTTTTTCTTCTGCCTCTCCTGTTTAAGTTCTCCTTGCTGACATTTGACACACATGTTGGTCAATTGAATGGATATGTATGTTTACATGAACTTATTGAGAGTAGATACATTACATGCATACCTAAAAAGAATTGCTCTTGAGCTTAGTTGGGTGAATACTGCTGCCTAGGCCAAACTCTATTAAAATTTTGGGGTGAAAAATGATTTGTATTCTACAGCTTTAAAGCATTAGTTTACTTTTGATCACTCTTGCTTTAAGATTGGAAGCAGCTGCTAAACATGTACAAGTGAAGAGGATTGCAAATTTTTCATATCCTTGACAAACAGACTTCTAAATGAAACCTTTCTCTTTGATGATTTGCTGTATTGGAGAATGACTTACATTATGTGCCTAAATGCTTATTACCTCATGAAAATTCTTTTCAGGAAAAAAAGAACATAATATTTCTTTGAATAACAAATTTCTGCTTGTCTTTTTCTGGCCTCGATAGTTCTCTTCCAAATCAATGAGATGATAAATGTTTTTTTAATGTTGGTTGGGCCTTTTAATTCTTTCCAAGAAACCAATGCTTGGTGTCTCTAAGTTGTTCATTCATTGCCTTAATCAATAAAATTATGTTGCTTTTATGATAGTGAAGGAAATGAAATATGTATGAAGTGGTTTTTGCTCTCATTTGTTGCAGATTATGGTCGTCAGTTGATTAAATTTCTTGTTCTAACTCAATTATATGCATTATCATAGGTTTAAAGGTATGGATCCTTCTATAAGTGGTCGAGGTGCTGAACCTGTATATCGCGATAAAGCCACAGGTTATTGAACAACAATGCCCTTTGTGATTCTTTGTTTGGCAACATATGCATGCTTTTATCTTGTTCTCACTTCATGCTTTTACAGGAGCACGCATGTCAAAGGATGAGTTAATGAAATTAACAAAAAAAGATGAAAAGCCCAAGGTACGGTGTTGACTTACTTTTATGTTTGGAATCTTCTTTAATGTTTTCTTTAAGTGGCATTTGTTCTTATTAGTTTTTTCATTACACTGTCATTAGTCCAAAGTTATATAGATCTGGTACTTATGAATTACTTTGTTTTAGTTTTAGGTAACAAATAAAAAACTTGTTATGATCAATTTGAAGCTTGAGCCCTTGTGTGCATGAAGCTCTGGAGGGATATAACAATAGAATATAAATTTAAGGCATTATTACTGATAAAAATATATATAAATTTAACATGTTACAGCTTCTTTTAAATCCTTAAAAAGGTTTGGAAGAAGTGAATCAATCCATGAGGCAATAGTTATAAGACCTGCTGTATTCTTACCATAATGCAATGTGATACAACAGTTGAGACTTGCATCTGTGCTCAGAATGTGACCTGGTAAAAGCCCATTAAACTTAATGAGGTGGCTTTAATAGGTAGTTTGAAGGCTTGAAAGCACCATAGTCTCTAGTTTCCATTTGTTATGCATAATTAAAAAGCATTATTACATGCTGAAAATTGTCATTTGAGTTTTGATAATTGTTCATGGTGTTCTTTATCAGGAGATAAAACTGGAATGGGGTAAAGGTTTGGCTCAAAAGCGGGAAGCTGAAACAAAGCTGCTGGAATTAGAACTTGAGAAGGAAAAACCATTTGCACGGACGAGGTAAAATTGATGTACAAGAGCAATGTGAATTTATTTCTTTTACTTCTAATAATTATAAGTGTTTGTTTTGATTTTCATACTATATATATTGCTGCACTCTCTTGAGCTAACATTTGTCATTGGAAAAGAGGGGAGGATACTTGCATTTAGTTATTTGTCTAGTGTTTGATATAGCACTAGGCACAACTTCTGTGTCAATGTGTTGGTACTCACCAACTATTTGGTCCTCTCCCTTTGTGGCAAATAAAATTCAATTTATGCTATTATGACGTAATATTCATTGGTAGTAGGTTCAGTCGTGTGACTTTAGCGTTGGAGGAAGCTGTTACCAGAGTTTTTGTCTTCCCCAAAAAAATGAGAGAGTATTGGGAGTTATCCTCAGAATTGAGGATTGAACAGAAGGTAATCATTGTCCAGGTTGACGAGAGATCTAGAGGGAGTCTAGTGGAGATTATAGAGAGGAATCGACTACAAAGCTTCTCTGTGAAGATAGATTTGGGAGGTGTAAGTTGGGCTGTGCAAGCTCTACAGCAGGTGGGGAAACTTTACAAAGGAGGCTCTTTCTTTAGCAAATACCATAGCAGCTCTGCTGTGTTTTGTTTACAGAAATATACCAATGATAAGGGTGTTTTTGTTGAGTTGTCGAAATGGGAGCGAGGCGTCAAGAAGAGAAATATTATCATTCCGGCGGGGATAATGGTAGTGGGTGGATGGATACAGCTACCATGCTTTGTAAGATCATTTGCAATGAACCCAAGACGAAAACTATAGGTACGGGTGACAGGGTTAGAGTTACAGAAAGTGTTCAGAGAAAAGACTTCGAAAAGGAGTACAGGGGTGAACAGAGGGAGAAAGTTTGTTGATTTGTTCACTGAGAATCGAATGGGTAATTTAGGGGTTGATATGGAGCGGGCGGTAGTCTGTGTAAGGTGTGATTTCTTAAGCAGCTGGGCGCAAATTGAAAAGGAGTTGAGCAAATATTTAAAGAAGTCTATTGCACTTCGGCCATTTCAAGTCAATAGAGCTCTGTTCTGGGTAAGTAATAGTGAGGAAGCAAATTTTATTGGAAACATGGGATTGAGGTTCTTCAACAGAGGTGTGGCGATCAGTTTGGAGAAGTGGTTAGAGGTGAGGCATGTTAAACCAGAGGTGATTGTCTCTTATGGAGGGTGGATAGCAGTGTGTGACTTGCCATTTACCCTTTGGAATGAAAAGGTATTCCAGTACATCGGTCAAAAGTGTGGTGGTTTGTTGGAAGTGGATAGAAGAACGGTCTCGTTGGAAAATCTATTTGAAGTAAGATTGAAAATCAAAGGTTTTGATTGTGGTTTTCTGCCAGCTTGTATGGAGATCAAGGAGGGAGATTGATCTTCCATGGTGCGTCTCAAGTCTCTGTCCAAGTTAGTGCGACGGAAGGAGGAAGTTTGGCCAACGATCTTCCGGCAACAGTCTTCTGGCGAATCTTTTCGCCGGCGACGAGGAAGACGAAGGGGAAGGATAGCCAGGGGGGACACGTGGCGGCTTCGAAGGGGAAAATCGAAAGGGTGTAGTAGTCGAAGGGGCTGGAGTTAGTTCCCATGCGATGGCTGAAATGGAGGGTAGATCAAGGGATAAGGGGCTTTGGGAGGCTTTAGCTGGGCCAATGGGGCGTAGTGGGCCAACATTTATTTTGGGCCCGAGTGATCTTTATGAGAAGGGCCAGAGTGTTATAAATCAACGGCCCAGGTTGGATTCTCCAACAGCTGGGCCATTCTGTAAGAAGCAAATGGGTTGTAATGTTGGGCCTCAAAGTGTGGATGTGGTCTATGCAATTGATTTGGGTCTAGTGGGACAATTGAAAGGGGCTTCTGGGTCGGAAGAGGATCAGTGATGCAGTTCAACCCGATTTGCTTGTAGGGGAGAAACGATCAATGGGGGAGGAGGAGGCTCAGCATCAGCAGTCATCTGGGGTGCGAGAGGCTGAGGATGTGGATCGCGAGATGAATTCTTCAAGGACTAATTAGTTTCGACTAACGAGGGGATGAGAATCAGCTAGGATTAGTTGATGTCGTGAATGGATCTGTCGAGGACCTATAGAAAATAGAGAGGAATATGGAGGAGTGGGTCGATGAGAGGATAGAGGAGGTGCAGGATGATGATTTGTTGAGTCGCAAGGTTGATGATGGGTGTTTCGAGCCTAACGAAGTGTTGCAAGCTTGGAAATGTATGGGTCTGAGACGAGCTCAGAGTTTGTCTCTGATTCAGAAGGCGATGGAGGTGATCAAGAAGAGTGTGATTTTTAGTTGTGTAATCTCTTTAAGGAGCAAGGCACTGTTGAGAATGAGGAGGCCGAGGATGCCTCTGAAGCAATGGATCATGTCAGTGACACTATTATCCAAGATCTTACAGCTCCAGCATCTAAGAGGGGTAACATTGCTAGTCAAATTTTTTCTTCTCTTGGGAATGGGGTAGGAGGGTCTCAGAGTCAGGGTCTTGATGGCTCTGTTAAGGGAATGGATGATCAAGGAGTCTTGCTGGATATTTCCAGAGCCATGATGTCTGGCTCTACTATTAATCCTGTGTCCTATAATGCTAATATTCCTGTTGGCCAAGTAAATGATGCTCAAGTGGGAGATTCTGTTAATTATATGCCCATGAGAAGCTATGTTTTTAGTGGAGTGAGGGATAGTGAGGTTGAAACTGAGTATTAGTTGATGGAGTTAAGCAAGTATGCATCGTGTCGTATTGAGGAAAATAAAGTTCCTCTTTTCAGGCATTTGCTTCAAGTTATGGGGCTGCCGTTAGTAAGGTTAAATGGGAGGAAGGGGGTTAGTGGAGAGGAACTTAGTGTCTCCAGGGGGGAGCATGTTAGAAGGGGAGGGGCTTCGGTTAGAAGGGGGCCTAGGGAGTTAAGGAACTTGGTGAGTACAATCAATTATGATAGGAGACATGAGGAGGTTAGGGGTGGCAATGTTTCTCAATGAAGATTTTTAGTTGGAATGTAAGGGGTTTGGGCTCCGAAAGAAGAAGGGGGTCATTAGGGATTTTTTGAAGAAGCATCAACCCGATATAGTCATTTTTTAGGAAACTAAAGTGGAAGCTTGTGATAGAAATTTCATTAAAAGTGTTTGGGGAGTTAGGAATAAAAAGTGGGCTTTTGTACCATCAGTGGGAAGGTCTGGAGGTCTTTTATGTATTTGGGATGAGAGGGTGGTTTTTGAGTGTGACTCATTAGTTGGAGAGTTTTCATTATCTGTTAGGTTCAGGAATCTAGATAATAGTGAGTGGTGGTTGTCAGGTGTATATGGCCCAAATTGCCCCGCTAAGAGACAGGCTTTGTGGGAGGAGTTAGGTGGGTTATATGGATTATGATACCCCAATTGGTGTTTAGGGGGGGATTTCAATGTGGTTAGGAAGATTTCAGAGAAGCTAACTTACTGGGGGTAGAATCAGTAGGAGTATGAGAGATTTTGATAGGTTCATTAGAGGTTGTGAATTGGTGGATCCTCCTTTATTTAATGCAAGATTCACATGGTCTAATCTTAGGGAAAGCAGGGTATGTTCTAGATTGTATAGATTTTTATTTTCTTTGGGTTGGGAGGGGGTTTTCCCCAATGTGAGACAGGAGGCGTTTCCAAGATTAGTGTCTGATCATTGTCCCATAATGATCGAGAGTTGTCCTTTTAGGTGAGGTCTGGCCCCATTTAGGTTTGAGAATATGTGGTTGGATCATCATTTATTTAAGGAGATCTTTGCGGGGTGATGGAATAATGCTAGATGTCACAGGTGGGAGGGTTTTAAATTCATGAGAAAGTTGAAGGTCATTAAAGAGCAAGTGAAGCTTTGGAATAGGGAGGTGTTTGGAAATTTGGAATCATCTAAACTTCAAGTTATGGGTAGAATGGAGGAGATAGATTCTTTGGAAATGCAGAGAAATGAGGTCGAGGATTTGAGGAGAGAGAGGAGGGAGCTAGGCGTGAAGTTGGAAGAATTGACTCTTAGAGAGCAGATTTTTTGGGCACAAAAAGCAAAGGTGAGGTGGTTAAAGGAGGGGGATGTTAGTTCAAAATTCTTTCATAGGGTTGCGGATGGCAAAAGGAAGAAAAAGTTCATTAAGAGATTGGAAGTAAGGCCAGGGGTAGTGGTGGACTCAGAGGAGCAAATAGTCCAAGGGATTTTGGATTTTTACTCAAAATTGTTTTCGAAGGATGAGATAGTCAAGCCTGGGTTAGAAGGGGATTGAGTGGAGGCCTATTGATTAGGAATGTGCCATTTGGTTAGAGAGGCCTTTTGAGGAAATGGAGATTAAGGATGCAGTTTTTGAGTGTGAGAGGGACAAGGCTCCAGGTCCCGACGGGTTTTCATTGGCAGTTTTTCAAGACTGTTGGGAGGTGGTAAAGGGGGATTTGGTGAAGGTTTTCATGGAATTTTATGAGTCAGGAGTGGTTAATTTATGTGCTAATGTCACATTTATTTGTTTGATTCCCAAGAGAGATGGAGCCATTCAAATTGGTGATTTTAGACCAATTAGTTTGGTAACATCACTCTACAAGATTTTGGGGAAGGTTTTGTAAAAAAGGTTGAGGGCTTCTTTAGGGGATACAATCTCTTCGACACAAGGGGCTTTCGTGCAAGGTAGACAGATTCTAGATGTGGTGCTGGTGGCGAATGAGGTGGTTGAGGAGTGTAGAAAGTCTAGAAAGAGAGGTCTTGTATTTACGGCAGATTTTGAGAAAGCATATGATCATGTAGATTGGCATTTTTTGGATTTTGTGATGGCTAAGAAAGGGTATGGTGAGAGATGGAGGTCCTGGATAAGGGGATGTATTAGCGTCTTGCAATATGTCGGTGATAGTCAATGGTAAACCGAGGCTGACTTTTAAGGCATCTTGAGGGTTGAGACAGGGAGATCCTTGGTGGATAGGGCTAAAGAGGTTGGTCTATTTGAAGGCTTACGGGTTGGTAGAGGTAAGATTAGTGTGACACATTTACAGTCTACGGATGACACTATTTCCTTCTCT